ATATGGGGATGCTGTTGGAAGATGTCCATTTATCAGATTATAGGAATGCTATTGGAAGATGTTCATTTCATCAGATATAGGGATGCTGTTGAAAGATGTCCATTTATCAGATTATAGGAATGCTATTGGAAGATGTTCATTTCATCAGATATAGGGATGCTGTTGAAAGATGTCCATTTAATCAGATTAAAGGGATGCTATTGGAAGATGTCCATTTATCATATTATAGGAATGCTGTTCGAAGATGTCCTTTTCATCAGATATAGGGATGCTGTTGAAAGATGTCCATTTCATCAGATATGGGGATGGTGTTGAAAGATGACCATTTCATCAGATATGGGGATGCTGTTGGAAGATGTCCATTTAATCCGATATAGGGATGCTATTGGAAGATGTCCATTTAATCAGATTATAGGGATGCTGTTGGAAGATGTCCATTTAATCAGATATAGGATGCTATTGGAAGATGTCCATTTATCAGATTATAGGAATGCTATTGGAAGATGTTCATTTCATCAGATATAGGGATGCTGTTGAAAGATGTCCATTTATCAGATTATAGGAATGCTATTGGAAGATGTTCATTTCATCAGATATAGGGATGCTGTTGAAAGATGTCCATTTCATCAGATATAGGGATGCTGTTGGAAGTTGTCCATTTAATCAGGTTATAGAGATGCTATTGGAAGATGTCCATTTAATTAGATATAGGGAAGCTATTGAAAGATGTCCATTTCATCAGTTATAGGGATGCTATTGAAAGATGTCCATTTCATCAGATATAGGGATGCTATTGGAAGATGTCCATTTAATTAGATATAGGGAAGCTATTGAAAGATGTCTATTTCATCAGATATAGGGATGTTATTGAAATATGTCCATTTATCAGATTAAAGGAATGCTATTGGAAGATGTCCATTTCACCAGATATAGGGATGCTATTGGAAGATGTCCATTTCATCAGATAAAGGGATGCTGTTGGAAGATGTCCATTTAATCAGATATAGGGAAGCTATTGGAAGATGTCCATTTATCAGATTATAGGGATGCTATTGGAAGATGTCCATTTAATCAGATATAGGAATACTGTTGGAAGATGTCCATTTAATCAGATTATAGGGATGCTATTGGAAGATGTCCATTTAATCAGATATAGGGAAACTATTGGAAGATGTCCATTTAATCAGATATAGGGATGCTATTGGAAGATGTCCATTTAATCAGATATAGGGATTCTATTGGAAGATATGCATTTCATGAGATATAGGAATGCATTTGGAAGATGTCCATTTAATCAGATATAGGGATGTTATTGGAAGATGTCCATTTAATCAGATTATAGGGATACTGTTGGAAGATGTCCATTTAATCAGATATAGGGATGCTATTGGAAGATGTCCATTTATCAGATTATAGGGATGCTATTGGAAGATGTCCATTTCATCAGATATAGGGATGCTGTTGAAAGATGTCCATTTCATCAGATATGGGAAACTATTGGAAGATGTCCATTTAATCAGATATAGGGATGCTATTGGAAGATGTCCATTTAATCAGATATAGGAATTCTATTGGAAGATATCCATTTCATGAGATCTAGGAATGGTGTTGGAAGATGTCCATTTAATCAGATATAGGGATGCTATTGGAAGATATCCATTTATCAGATTATAGGGATGCTATTGGAAGATGTCCATTTCATCAGATATGGGGATGCTGTTGGAAGATGTCCATTTAAACCGATATAGGGATGTTATTGGAAGATGTCCATTTAATCAGATTATAGGGATACTGTTGGAAGATGTCCATTTAATCAGATATAGGGATGCTATTGGAAGATGTCCATTTATCAGATTATAGGGATGCTGTTGGAAGATGTCCATTTAATCAGATATAGGGATGCTATTGGAAGATGTCCATTGATCAGATTATAGGAATACTATTGGAAGATGTCCATTTCATCAGATATAGGGATGGTGTTGAAAGATGACCATTTCATCAGATATGGGGATGCTGTTGGAAGATGTCCATTTAATCCGATATAGGGATGCTATTGGAAGATGTCCATTTAATCAGATTATAGGGATGCTGTTGGAAGATGTCCATTTAATCAGATATAGGGATGCTATTGGAAGATGTCCATTTATCAGATTATAAGAATGCTATTGGAAGATGTTCATTTCATCAGATATAGGGATGCTGTTGAAAGATGTCCATTTAATCAGATATAGGGATGCTATTGGAAGATGTCCATTTCATCAGATTATAAGAATGCTATTGGAAGATGTCCATTTAATCAGATATAGGGATGCTATTGGAAGATGTCCATTTAATCAGATATAGGAATTCTATTGGAAGATATCCATTTCATGAGATCTAGGAATGGTGTTGGAAGATGTCCATTTAATCAGATATAGGGATGCTATTGGAAGATATCCATTTATCAGATTATGGGGATGCTATTGGAAGATGTCCATTTCTTCAGATATGGGGATGCTGTTGGAAGATGTCCATTTAAACCGATATAGGGATGTTATTGGAAGATGTCCATTTAATCAGATTATAGGGATACTGTTGGAAGATGTCCATTTAATCAGATATAGGGATGCTATTGGAAGATGTCCATTTATCAGATTATAGGGATGCTGTTGGAAGATGTCCATTTAATCAGATATAGGGATGCTATTGGAAGATGTCCATTGATCAGATTATAGGAATACTATTGGAAGATGTCCATTTCATCAGATATAGGGATGGTGTTGAAAGATGACCATTTCATCAGATATGGGGATGCTGTTGGAAGATGTCCATTTAATCCGATATAGGGATGCTATTGGAAGATGTCCATTTAATCAGATTATAGGGATGCTGTTGGAAGATGTCCATTTAATCAGATATAGGGATGCTATTGGAAGATGTCCATTTATCAGATTATAAGAATGCTATTGGAAGATGTTCATTTCATCAGATATAGGGATGCTGTTGAAAGATGTCCATTTCATCAGATATGGGGATGCTGTTGGAAGATGTCCATTTAATCAGATATAGGGATGCTATTGGAAGATGTCCATTTAATCAGATTAGAGGGATGCTATTGGAAGATGTCCATTTAATCAGGTTATAGAGATGCTATTGGAAGATGTCCATTTAACTAGATATAGGGAAGCTATTGAAAGATGTCCATTTCATCAGATATAGGGATGCTATTGAAAGATGTCCATTTCATCAGAAAAAGGGATGCTGTTGAAAGATGTCCATTTCATCAGATATAGGGATGCTGTTAGAAGATGTCCATTTAATCCGATATAGGGATGCTATTGGAAGATGTCCATTTAATCAGATTATGGGGATGCTATTGGAAGATGTCCATTTAATCAGATATAGGGAAGCTATTGGAAGATGTCCATTTAATCACATAAAGGGATACTATTGGAAGATGTCCATTTCATCAGATATAGGGATGTTGTTGAAGATGTTCGCTTCAGAATACACACATATAACTGCTACAAATGGTAAGTTCGGTTTTAAAAAGACCAGATGTACATCCTATTATTAATGTTAGAGATGCCCTTGGTCGCGAAATATGACCGTGCCTCGCTGTCAGATAATGATCGGTTTAATTCAGATGTCAGTTATTCATGTAGTCATGGCCCTGAAACAATTATAACAGTGTAGTAACAGCCATAAATCATATGTATCAATATCACAAGTAGTTTTCACATCACAAAAAATGTATGGGATTTATGGCATCGTAAAATAAATATACATAACAATTGTCCGACAAATATCTAAATTTGTCACATCAAGGGAGGTAATAAACACTCATGACATAAGCTGTGAGATAATATCACGCCAAGGGAGGTAATTCACCACCAAATACCATGTTTTGCCCACATAATCACAATGAAAACAGTATTTACACATATACTTAACACCGGCATCACCCAACAAGTAACGTACCATACATGTTGTAACATAAAGATCAAATATATTTATCCATGATAATAAACCTTACGTATTTGTGGAATTGAGCCATATGAAAACACATGATGACTTACAATAAAGGCAGACCATGGATTGCCTGCAATTCACAAACACCATCATAGAACATTGTGACAGTGCACTCATCATGACGTAGGGTATTCACTCACACAATTCAAACAAAACCATTGCATATATATGCACATAGCCAACTGACAAAAGCTTACGTTAATAATTATTTAACTCTGACTTTAATCAGAAACTTTTATTGCAATTGTCTACATTACCAAATGAACTTTAGCTTTAACGTAATTGATCAACATTAATTTAGATACTTTTTCAACATTACCATATGTAACAAGTTACCGAAGAACATTATTGTTTAAGAAACAACCGATTTTGTGATCATACAAAAGAACTAAAAAACATGAACATAATTTAGTGTTGAAGTATTTAACTGACCTGTTTTATCGTGCTGTCACATAACGTGTTGTTGCCTGCTGTGCTGTGCTGTGATTTAGGTGATTAGATTTGATGCAGGGGAACTATCTTAGTTTTAAAACTAGCCATGAGTAGATAGTAAATATGGTCAGGTGATAAACAAGTTTTATCCTAGTTTCAGAATGAGACAATACTCTTGATCAAGAATCACACTTTACGACGGCATCCCCTTTCAGATAAATGAAATTCATATGAAATAATAGACAAATATAACCAACTACCAATATAATTCATTTTGACATGTGCTAAATACCACAAACCTTAGAATACTGCCACCGACCTTCAATAACTAAGGATCCTTTTTATGACCTATATTTACAATAAATGTAAAGTAGATATAAACAAACAAACCAAACTAAGATATAAAAATGTCATGAAGAAGTCGCTTCTACTCTGAAAGAACTCAACTTCTAAAGCTACGGAGTTTAATGTTTGGGTCTCTGCCGCTAGTTGCTGTGAAACAAAAGCATTAATTGTTATGTTATGTTTTGGTTAATTGTTCATGTAACTGTTTGCAGATATTGACGAGTGTGCAACAAACCCATGTGCGAACGGTACATGTGTCGACCACGTCAACAACTACACCTGTGACTGTGAACCTGGGTATACAGACAAGAACTGCAGCACAGGTGAGAAGGCCTTCCCTATCTCACACAGGTTTAATTTATTTCAGTATTATAACCTCATTAGCCCGAACCCCATTAGGTTGGACACCATGCTTTTCAGGCGATTACGATTATAGGGATGCTATTGGAAGATGTCCATTTAATCAGATATAGGGATGCTATTGGAAGATGTCCATTTCATCAGATATAGGGATGCTGTTGGATGATGTCCATTTAATCAGATATAGGGATGCTATTTGAAGATGTCCATTTATGAGATTATAGGGATGCTATTGGAAGATGTCCATTTCATCAGATATAGGGAAGCTATTGGAAGATGTCCATGTAATCAGATTATAGGGATGCTATTGGAAGATGTCCATTTAATCAGATATTAGGGAAGCTATTGGAAGATGTCCATTCAATCAGATTATAAGGACGCTATTGAAAGATTTGCATTTAATCAGATAGAGGGAAGCTATTGGAAGATGTCCATTTAATCAGATTATGGGGATGCTATTGGAAGATGTCCATTTAATCAGATATAGGGATGCTATTGTAAGATGTTCATTTAATCACATAAAGGGATACTATTGGAAGAAGTCCATTTCATCAGATATAGGGATGCTGTTGAAGATGTTCGCTTCAGAATAGAGACATATTACTGCTACAAATGTTCAGTTCGGTTTTAAAAAGCCCAGATGTACAGCCTATTATTAATGTTAGAGATGCCTTTGGTCGCGAAATATGACCGTGCCTCGCTGTGGGATAATGATCGGTTTAATTCAGATGTCAGTTATTCATGTAGTCATGGCCCTGAAACAATTATAACAGTGTAGTAACAGCCATAAATCATATGTATCAATATCACAAGTAGTTTTCACATCACAAAAAATGTATGGGATTTATGGCATCGTAAAATAACTATACATAACAATTGTCCGACAAATATCTAAATTTGTCACATCAAGGGAGGTAATAAACACTCATGACATAAGCTGTGAGATAATATCACGCCAAGGGAGGTAATTCACCACCAAATACCATGTTTTGCCCACATAATCACAATAAAACAGTATTTACACATATACTTAACACCGGCATCACCCAACAAGTAACGTAACATACATGTTGTAACATAAAGATCAAATATATTTATCCATGATAATAAACCTTACGTATTTGTGGAATTGAGCCATATGAAAACACATGATGACTTACAATAAAGGCAGACCATGGATTGCCTGCAATTCACAAACACCATCATAGAACATTGTGACAGTGCACTCATCATGACGTAGGGTATTCACTCACACAATTCAAACAAAACCATTGCATATATATGCACATAGCCAACTGACAAAAGCTTACGTTAATAATTATTTAACTCTGACTTTAATCAGAACTTTTATTGCAATTGTCTACATTACCAAATGAACTTTAGCTTTAACGTAATCGATCAACATTAATTTAGATACTTTTTCAACATTACCATATGTAACAAGTTACCGAAGAACATTATTGTTTAAGAAACAACCGATTTTGTGATCATACAAAAGAACTAAAAAACATGAACATAATTTAGTGTTGAAGTATTTTACTGACCTGTTTTATCGTGCTGTCACATAACGTGTTGTTGCCTGCTGTGCTGTGCTGTGATTTAGGTGGTTAGATTTGATGCAGGGGGACTATCTTATTTTTAAAACTAGCCATGAGTAGATAGTAAATATGGTCAGGTGATAAACAAGTTTTATCCTAGTTTCAGAATGAGACAATACTCTTGATCAAGAATCACACTTTACGACGGCATCCCCTTTCAGATAAATGAAATTCATATGAAATAATAGACAAATATAACCAACTACCAATATAATTCATTTTGACATGTGCTAAATACCACAAACCTTAGAATACTGCCACCGACCTTCAATATTTAAGGAGCTTTTTTATGACCTATATTTACAATAAATGTAAAGTAGATATAAACAAACAAACCAAACTAAGATATAAAAATGCCATGAAGAAGTCGCTTCTACTCTGAAAGAACTCAACTTCTAAAGCTACGGAGTTTAATGTTTGGGTCTCTGCCGCTAGTTGCTGTGAAACAAAAGCATTAATTGTTATGTTATGTTTTGGTTAATTGTTCATGTATCTGTTTGTAGACATAAACGACTGTGCAACAAACCCATGTCTGAACGGTACATGTGTCGACCACGTCAACAACTACACCTGTGACTGTGAACCTGGGTATACAAACAGGAACTGCAGCACAGGTGAGAAGGCCTTCCCTATCTCACACAGGTTTTATTTATTTCAGTATTATAACCTCATTAGCCCGAACCCCATTAGGTTGGACACCATCCTTTTCAGGTGATTACGACTTTTTGCGACTGAAGATACACAAGGAAAAATACTTAGTAACGATAATTCGTTTGTTCGGATAATAATGTATTTTGACAGTTGTGGTTAATTCTTCATGTAACTGTTTGTAGATATTGACGAGTGTGCAACAAACCCATGTGTGAACGGCAGGTGTGTCGACCACGTCAACAACTACACCTGTGACTGTGAACCTGGGTATACAGACAAGAACTGCAGCACAGGTGAGAAGGCCTTCCCTATCTCACACAGGTTTTATTTATTTCAGTATTATAACCTCATTAGCCCGAACCCCATTAGGTTGGACACAATGCTTTTCAGGCGATTACGACTTTTTGCGACTGAAGATACACAAGGAAAAATACTTAGTAACGGTAATTCGTTTGTTCGGATAATTATGTATTTGGACAGTTGTGGTTAATTCTTCATGTCACTGTTTGTAGATATTGACGAGTGTGCAACAAACCCATGTGTGAACGGCAGGTGTGTCGACCACGTCAACAACTACACCTGTGACTGTGAACCTGGGTATACAGACAAGAACTGCAGCACAGGTGAGAAGGCCTTCCCTATCTCACACAGGTTTTATTTATTTCAGTATTATAACCTCATTAGCCCGAACCCCATTAGGTTGGACACCATGCTTTTCAGGCGATTACGACTTTTTGCGACTGAAGATACACAAGGAAAAATACTAAGTAACCATAATTGGTTTGTTCGGATAATATGTATTTGGACAGTTATCGTTAATTCTTCATGTAACTGTTTGTAGATATTGACGAGTGTGCATCAAACCCATGTGTGAACGGCAGGTGTGTCGACCACGTCAATAACTACACCTGTGACTGTGAACCTGGGTATACAGACAAGAACTGCAGCACAGGTGAGAAGGCCTTCCCTATCTCACACAGGTTTTATTTATTTCAGTATTATAACCTCATTAGCCCGAACCCTATTAGGTCGGAACTGCAACACAGGTGAGAAATCTGTCCCTATATCTCACACATGTTTTGTATTCATAATCAGTGTAACGCCGATATGTAGTATCAAGTTTGGAAACCAGGAAAGTACATGTACATATCATTGTGCTCATTATGATAGCATATCATTGTTTAATATTCCTGAAGCTTACCTCTTCATATCTGTTCAGATGAGACAAACCCTGCAATAAGTTCAGTGTTAATATAACGTCAGTTCATATAAAAGACCGCAGAGTAACCCGTCTCGATTATCCGCCGGAACAGATTCCATTTGGCGTTAAATTCAATATATAGCTGTGAAAATTATATGAATGGATCGCTAAAAAATCAGTGCTGACACCAGGTGATCGCGAAAAGGATAAGCATACCCTGCCCTACCCAAAGCACACGTCACTCACACAATTTGCATAAAAAGTACGCGTTTCTTGCCTGAAGCCACACCCATTGCAGTGCGACGGCGGTCTGTAAACAACCCAAAACATCAATTGATGGACCAGAACATTAAGTGACACGTTATAATTAGCGCATTTACTTAAACCTCCATTATCTGCACTTGACCTATGTCAGTACAACCATCATTAAGTGTCACATGTCTTAATTAATAATTTAAAAAAATATTTATAACTCACTTGTAAATATTTCTATGCTTTAATAGTAGGACCTGTGTCTTGTGTTGCTAATAATAGCTGCTTAATGTGCTAACCATCAATATTTAAATTGTAAGCATTTGGGGGGGGGGGGGGGGGGGGGGGGGCAAAATAAAGCTTCCACTTGTTGCATACCCGTAAACGGTTTAAGAATTGTAACAATAATCGTTTCTCATTTTTCTATTTCAGACATCGACGACTGTGCCTCCAGTCCATGTAAAAACAACGGGACTTGCACTGATCGTGTCAACGCGTTTGAATGCCTCTGTCCGGCTGAGTACAGTGGCTTGCTTTGTCAGTTTGTACTTGCTTGTGGTTGTCCTTGCCTTTTCAAGGGTAACATGACAGATGAAGAACTGGCTGCAAAAGTTGCATGGCTGCGGTCGAGTTTACTCCTCGACAAGTCGATTCTGACCAGCACAATACGAAAAAAGACAAGTGCACCGGATACACGCAAATCTTCAACAGGGATTGGATTAATCGGCATAGTTTGCATTGGTGCAGCATTTGGGTTTTTCCTATTCGTTGATTGTTTTAACTTTGTTAAGTATATTTCAACAAAAAAGGACCCGAAACGCAAAATAATACAGATGACGGAAATAATCAGGAAGAAAGATTGGTAACACCATGGTAATTTAAGTTCTCAAACCAGGGCATTTTACCACCTACTTCACTACCTATTCCCTTCCATGCCCCTTCCTTCGCCAATTTTGCTTTGTATATTTGCTACTTCTCCTCCTCAACACTTTATCCACTGGCCGTGGCTTTACTTTATATAACACAGTCGGAAACCAAACATGGACTCTGCTTATGGACTCTAAGATTATGAAATGGCTTTGTCGCTTTTCTATAGACTAGTAGTCCCAATGATTACTTTTATGTAAACTGAAGCTTCCTCTCACCATTTAGAATTGGCTTGGAATGAACATTGACATATCCTGCCTCAGATTACAAATAATTAGGCTGTGGTGATAGGAAAAAAAGGTGAGACACAGTGGTGACTAATGCATATATATTACATCAAGTCTTAGTGTTATATATGGGACTTTCTTTTTCCGTTTCCCCGAACCGGTAGTCAGTAATGTTAATTAAAAGGGAGGGGTTATTAAGGTAGCTATAGGCCTGGAACTTTCTGTTTTAAAGTTGTAATACTTAGGGCATATGTTTTTCCAAACTGGAAGTATGTTTAAATTTGTTTTTAAGATAGTTAAAGGGATATGAATATCTCTAATAATTTCAAAGTTATACTGCATTGGGCATGCTTTCTAAAACCAATGGATGCAACTTTGATATTAAGGTAGGCGAGATGAACTTTCCCTGCAAAGAAGTGCTGCATTAGGCATGCTTTCTAAAACCAATGGATGCAACTTTGATATTAAGGTAGGCGAGATGAACTTTCCCTGCAAAGAAGTGATGCATTAGGCATGCTTTCTAAAACCAATGGATGCAACTTTGATATTAAGGTAGGCCAGATGAACTTTCCCTGCAAAGAAGTGCTGCACTGGGCCTGTGTGTTCCCATACCGAAAGAGGTGTCATTAAATCTTTCACTCAGGGTAGCTAGAGGCATAGGCTTTATATTAGTCTTCAGCATCCAAAGCTTGTCGTAAGAGGCGACTAACGAGATCGGGTAGTCAGGCTCGCTAGCTTGGTTGATACATGTCAGTGTATGCTGTAGATCGATGCTCATGATGTCAATCACTCGATGGTCTGGAGCAGTCTCGATTATTTACAGACCACCGACATATATCTGGAATATTGCTGAGTGTGGCGTTAAACAATACACAAACAACAAACAGCATAAAAATGAGTTTTACTGACTGATACATATGGGATGAACAATTAATATATTTGATATACATGTAGATAGTATCGGAGAGGTCTGTTAGAATCTGATATAGTTAGGCAAGTATGGTTAGTCGTGCATGTTTCTAGGGGAAACAGCTTGTTTATCAGGTGTTGACCATTAACGTTTTCAGTGCATGCAGAAATAGAGAGAAAATGGTATGAATCGTGTAGGCATGTCCGACAGTAACTGGGCAACAGAGGGATTCAGAAGTTGGACATGTGAACAAACTTGTTTGCCATCACTTTTGATCATGAACGAATGAGTACTGTTTATCATGCTTCATTATGTAATTTGTCACTTTAAGATTTGCTTATTTGAAATGATAGTGAACTGATATACATCAGAATAACAACATGTGATTACACGTGAAGCTGCTGATGTTGCTGACACTGAAAGCCGATGACGTAATTGAACTATTCTATAACATGGAATACTACGTTGGGACAGAATTATGTTTTATATTCATGTTGTGCATTATGTATTACTGATGCGAGATTTATTGTTTTATTGTTTTCATTATATTATATATGTTTATATAATTATAACCAAGACTGAATGACTGAGTATGGTTTTACGCCGCTTTTAGCAATATTCCAGCAATATCACGGCGGGGGACACCAGAAATGGGCTTCACACATTGTACCCATGTCGGGAATCGAACCCGGGTCTTCGGCGTGACGAGCGAACGCTTTAACCACTAGGCTACCTGACCGCCCTTATAACCAAGAAAGGAGCAAGTTATTGACCTCGTACGTTTCATATCAATTTTATATGTGCACCTAGCTTATGACATGAAATGCACGTTGGTTAAAAGCGATCCTACAAATATGTGTTATTTAGTGTTTACATACTCAAAATTGAAGATTGTTATATATTCAGAAATGTTGTCCTTCATTGACTCTTACCATGTTGTGTGAAATATATCTACCTTTAATTATTTATGTGCAATAATTATTGATTTGATCTAACGTTTAAACCACAATGACATATGAAAAGAAAAACTCTTTCTAGTTATTTGACGTTGGGCATAACTGTTTTGCTCTGATATAAAATCAATTAATTTTTGTTTTCCTTTTACACGTTTTGTAAATCAAAAGAATGGAGAAATGGGTTGAAATTATTCGTCAGTATAATTTACAAGTTAATTAACTTATTATATTAATCAAAATGGAACAAAATGGCTGGTGTGCAGGTAAAAACAAAAAATCAATACTTAATTGTATTATATATACTTCAGATGTCAGATAATTCAATCCGTTTCACTTTTCATTTTATAAAGTCATGTCACCGACCATTACCATAGAGATCGCTATGTTGTGATACCCGATGATGGCAAGTATCTCTTAATTATTCGTCTCTCTTTAACATGCATTTATCATAGTATTTTCAAATGATGTGTATTGTATTGTGTGTCATGTTTTTATATGTTTTCATCATAAATATGAACCAAACATTTCTTTCTAAGCTTAATTCAATGTAAAAAATAATTAACCTACAAACTCGACATGTGGCCTTTAATATAATATGTTGTTGTTTTTAAATTACTCAGCGGCTTTGCTCACGTTATTTATATACAGGACATATGTCAATTAAAGTTGTGCTTCAAAGGATTGTTTGTTTGTTTGTTGTTAAACGCCGCACTCAGCAATAGTCCAGCTATATGACGGCGGTCTGTATATAATCGAATCTGAACCAAACAATCCAGTGACTGACATCATGAGCATCGATCCACACAACTGGGGTCAATGACATGCATCAACCAAGTCAGCGAGTCTGACCACCCGATTCCGTTCTGTTCTATTCTGATCAGTATTGATTTAGTCGCCTCCTACGACCAGCCTAGATAATTGGGGACCTATACTAATCCCGATCCGAAAGGGGCAGTTTCAGCTTCAGATAGAGGGAATTTATTTCTTTTGCACTGGGAACTCCCCGATAATATTCGTTTTCGCGACACAGAAATCTGATGTATATGCTTGTCTGAATGCTTCGGTCCCTCAACAGTATCGGTCACAATTAGTCAAATGCTAATAGTAGTCCCGTTTCACTTAAATGACACTAATAACAAAGGACGGGCGATAAGGAGTGAGCTTTGTTAGTGTACAACCATACTCGCTGGCTATATACAGATAGATAGAAAACCCAGACAAAGTCAGGCTAGATTCAATGTCACCTTACAGGTAAGATCTATTAATAACTTGGGTTTTACTTGAGTTGTGTAACAACAACGAAACCCTTTGGAGTTGCCCAATCAAGTCATGGTTATTTATATTCCAAACTGAAAGTGAATCGCTCTTGTCTTATGCAGGCGCTTCGCATAACAGGTGAGGCATACCAGCTCTCCTATTTAGACTGGTTATTTTTTATACTTTGGAACATAGACGTAACAAAGACGGATTTAAAGATTC